GGGGGAGGGGAGGAGGAGAGAGAGAGAGAGAGAGGCATCACTGGCATCTCTGGCATCGGCGGCATGCATGGTTGCAGAGCCGGCATGGCAGTGCCGCCGGGTCGGTAGCCAATCGTTGCCGCTGTTCGCAACAGAGCAGCCGATGGCGGCATGGACAGGCACTTGCCCAGCAGCACCACCATACCACCATCACCACACTCACCACCACCACACCCAACTCACCGCCACACCCACCTCACCGCCACACCACACACACACACACACACACACACACACACACACACACACATACACACACACACACATACACACACACACACACACACACACACACACACACACACACACACACACACACACAGGCTCATCATGGGGTTCATGAACAAGCTCAAGGAGAAGGCCAACACGGCGTCAGCGTCGGTGATGGAGTCGAGCCGCAAAGCGACGGCCAAGACAAAGGTGGCGGCTGGCTCACTGGTGAGTGCGGCTGACATGCCGGCCTCGTTTCACCTCGAGCCGGCGGCAGAGCCCATGCTGGCAGGCTCGTCTGCAACCCTCATTTCGGGCGCTAACACCCTGTCCGGACAGGTCTATGTCACGCCGCGCTTCCTCTGTGTCCTCACCTTCTCGGCCGGCCGCGAGGTCCGGCTCACCCTGCCGCATCGCGATCTGCAGGCCATTCAGCGGGTCTTCTGCGCTCGCGGCGAGTCATCTTCGGGTTCGCTCGCTGTCGGCCCGCCGCCGCCGGGCGAGGGTCCAAACACCCTGCGCATGTGCTACGCTGACGGCACCATGCACACCTTTATCAAGCCGTCCGACGGCGTCACCCTCGCCAACTGGTTGCACGTCATGTGGGACCTGGCCCGCAGCTCTCCCTCGCCTTCGGCCCCGATTCGTCCGCCGGATGCCGACGAGCACCACTTCTTTGCCATCGACCGCCGCTGCCAGCTGCTTGGCGTCCACAAGACCTACATCGTCTCGGGCACCGAGAAGCTCAAGGGCTTCCTCTGCATCTTTGAAGGCCACATTGCGTTGGCCATCGGCGGCAAGCCCGATCCCGAGGTCGACGGCGGGCGCCCGTACATCATCCCGGCCGCCTCGGTCCAGTACCTTGCCCGTGCCTCGGTCGAAGCCAACCCGGATCCAATGGTCGCCGCCCCGATCTGCCTCCCGCACCCGAGTGGGCCGTGCTCCTCCAAGCTCACCGGCCTCGTTCTTTACACCGCCGACGGCCTCCGGCACGAGCTCACTGGCGTGAAGCACGTCCAGCTCGCCTACAACCGTCTTGTCCACGTCGTTGCCGTTGCCATCCGTCAGCAGCCCCAGTTCTGGTGAGCCCTCACGGTGTATAGCCCACAGCCATCGCCATGGACGCGTATCAAAGTCACCCGGCTCCGTCTGCGTTCGTGTTTTGAGTGTATGTCCACAGCTCAGCCAACTACAGCTCAAGCCCGCGAGCAACGGCGAGCTGGCGCCGGACCGCCATCAGAGCCTTGCCCAGCAAGTTGCTGCCGCGCCAGTTCTTACGCGAGAGCGCGCGGCGGTCGTTGGGCGCGAGACCGATGCCCCAGATCTTGTCGTAGGGAGAGGCCTCGGCAATGGTCCGCGTGCCCGTGGCCAGGAGCGCAGCGGCAAGCTCCTCGCTCTGTGAGAACTTGGCCACATTCCCGGCCTCGACAATCGCTAGGCACTCGGCCTTCCACACCTTGTCGTCAAAGTTGCGCACGCAGCGGCCAAGACCTTTGATCTTACGCGGCGAGGTTTCGGCGAGAATAGCCTCGAGCATCTCGTCGTCGCCGAACAGGCGCGCCTTGCCGGCCATCATGTACTGCTCAGCGTTGGCGTAGACCACGCCATCGACTTCAAACTCGCACGGGTACCATTGTGAGAGGAAGCCCTTCCAGAACAGCACGAGCGAGTCAGCTGGATCGCCGTCATCGCCATCATCAGTGAGTGAGAACGCGCGCATCTCGACAAGTCGCCTATGTGTGACGGCAGGACGTACTCATTACAACGTCCCTGGATTCCAGCAGCGGATTGCTGATGCTCTCGGTGGAGGCCATCGTCCACGCAAGATCGGTGCCAATCACAAGGGAGCAGAGGCGAAGGTGGGAAAGGTTGGCGCGATGTGGTGGCGTGGCGTGGCTGGTGGCGTGCGAGCCTCGGCTACTTTGGCTGTGTTATCAGCGCTTTGGTCTTGTTCTTCCGAATGAGCTTCCAATCGGTTCCAAGACGGAAATGGAAGTGCGCCGCGGCTTTTTCAATTCCGCCAGCCCAAAACCACACTTGCAAACGCCGCATTCTTGGCCACCAGCCTACTTGCTCAACATCCGCAGTCATGGACAGTTTTGCCCGTTTGATGGGCCATGGCGGATCTGAAGACTATGACGATGATCTGCAGCTGGCGCTGGCACTCTCGGCCTCTCTGGCAGACGTCGAGGGCGCTTTCAACCAGCAACCGCGTGCGTGCACGACGGCTGGGCCGGTAGAGACCGACCTTCACTTTGATGCTGACGAATACCCCGCCGAGACCGAGGCTGTGTTTGACTACGCTGACGAGCTTGCGCTGCAGTACTACGAGACCAAGGCCGAGCGGTACTTTGCACACTGCGGGCGGCGGAGCTCATGGCGGCGCAAGTACGAACGTGTCGACCGCGTCGACGCCGTCACCCTTGTGGTCGCGCTCGAGATGCTCAACGACCCACGCAACGCCACTGATGGCGAGGGTGAGGCCGAGACTGAGACCGAGGACAAAGTCGAGGCGCCGGGTGGGAATGATAGCTCGTGCGGCGTCTTCTCGCCGTTCCTGGATGCATCCGAGTTCCAGACCACGTTCACCGACGTGGCACGCGCGCATTTCCGGCAGCAGCCGCACGAGGTGGAGAAGATCGAGCCTGCTCCGATCAACCGCGCGCTGCTCGAGCGCTTCATTGCCTCATCGCGGCGGATGAAGGTTCTACCGTCGGTGGTCAGCCACGGGACAAGCCTGCGCAAGTTCAACTCGATCTTTGACCGCGGCCTCATCATTCCCGGCCGTGCCGGAGTCAACGTCGCCAACGGCTCGGTGTACGGCCGCGGCATCTACACCTCGACCGAACTCAGCACACCACTTGCATATTCGCGGTGTGCGACAGCTAAGACTTCGACTCGCGTCATTGTCTGTGGCCTCCTTGATCCGGTCGTCAAGCCGACGGAGGTCTGCGCACGCGTGCCTGGCCTCGTCGGAAGCGTCCAGCCGCCGCGCACTCATGCTCCACCGCTGACAGACTCTGCTTCTGCATCGCTGCTTGAGGGTGCCAAGCTGCGGAAGGAGTTGCGGCGGATGGCGGCGCACGAGGCGCGCCACATCAGCCCCCACGCCCGCCGTCGCGATGCGAACTCGCATTCTTCGGTCAATCTCGCACCCGCGCGGAGCGCAGCCAACGCGCGCTCGCGTATCCGGCGGGTCAACGGGAGCTGGCGGGTCATTTTCGACGAGCGGCTTGTCCTTCCGCTCGCCATCGCCCACATCAAGCGCCCAGCGCCGTACCGCTACACGCCTGTGCCGTCGGGGCGCACCGGGCGCGGACGTCGGGCCGTCGTCGACATCCGACACCGTCTCGACTCGGCGGTCAAGGCCATCATCGACCCGCAGTCACCCAACCGCAAGCCCGTCAAGCTCGACCAGCCGGAGCTCGACAGTGGAGTGGCCATCATCCGCTCCCGCCGCCGCCGGCAAGCAGACCGCCAGCTCGTCCGGCTCCGGGCCGACGCTGCCGCGGCCCCGCTCATGGGCGCAGCCGCGTAAGCATCACTCCCGCAGCACAGCTCTAAACTCCCCGAGCAACTAAAGCACCAACGTAGAGAAGCCATCACCCAATAATGCAGTCGATGCCATGCACATCGGCGCAGAGGTGTCCGAGAGCGCGCCAACATTGGGCATACTCGACGGATCCACCACGAACCGGCGGCAGCCCACCACCACGGCACCACGCCACTCGCCACCAAAGCCCTCGCACTCACACCCGCACACCGCACACCACACTCGACCTCACCGACATATCATGTCTGCGAGGCAAGTGCTTGTGGGTGATGACGAAGACGGCGGTGCGCCACTGACCATTGTGCGCTACAAGCGGCGCCGCGGGCAGCGGAGCGGGCGCGGGCGCGGGCGGGCCGACTCGACCTCGTCGACCTCGTCATCGTCGTCGAGCGACGACGGATACGGGGAGCGCATGGCCAAGCGGCAGAAGCAGCGGGGGAGCGGGAGAGGGGGAGACCGCGAGGTGAGCCAGGCAGAGCGGGCGGGCGCGCGGACGGCTGCAGAGACCGCCTCGCTCCTCACACGCCTGCCCATGCTGTTTGCCCCTTCGGCGCCCGGCGCTCGCCCGACCCGTCCACGGTCGGTTGTCCGCTCCTCGGTCCGATCGGGTCCGGGCGCCCTGGGCAAGAAGAACGCCGGTGTGCTGGCGGCTGCGTCGGGCAAGTCCGCCCGCCGCAGGCGGCTGCTCAAGGTTCGCACGTTGCGGGCAAGCGGCGGCAAGCACATCAACGTGGTTGATGTGGTCGACGACGACGACGACGACGACGATCAAGCCGAGACCAGATCGAGCGGTACCCTTCAAGATGATGACGACGGGCTACGGGCTATGCTGCAAAAGCATCTCATGCCGGTGCTCAACGCGACAGCGCGCGGAATGGCTAAGGGCGACGCCCTCGCTGTGGCACGGGCAATCGCCGCGGCGTCGGGCACCAGCCTTCCGCCGGCCGCGGCCGAGTCGACCGAGACGCTCCTCGAGTGGATTCCGGGCGAGAACGGCGAGACTGGGATGCTGGTCCTTGCCGGGTCGGAGGCGTACGTCGGCCTCGATTCCGACGACGACGACGACTGGGGCGGCATGTCGCTCGGCACGGCCAACGCCATTGGCAACTACTACGTGTGCCAGGGCGAGGCACTGCTCGACGAGAACGAAGCCAACATGGCGCTGGAGTCGTACGGTATCTCGTCGCTGCTCATGGGCGAGTACGACTCGGACGGCGAGGTCGGTGTTCACGACGAGCTCGACGAGTCGCTCGACGGGCAGGAGATCGACTACCCGGACGAGGCGTCGCACGACTCGTCGGACGGCGACGAAGGTGGCTACGCGCGTGACGGCAGCAGGAGCGTCAGGCGGTTCGACCCGTGGGCGCCGCGTGACGTGAGCGACGACGAGTCGCGCGACGGCGACGACCTGGCGGACGACGTCGACGACCACGAGTTTGTCGACCCGTACTTTGAGCTTGACCAGGCGCCCGAAGTTGCGGCGTTCAACCGCTTTTCGCAGGCATACCTCGGCGACGACGGCGGCTCGTCAGGCCTCCGTCACGTCAGCGACGCCGATGAGTTTATGGCCCGGTTCGGCGGGCTAAGCCTCTTGCCGGATGCCGTTGATCCCGAGCTGTACGATTCCGAGCACGAAGAAGACGATCCGTTTGCAGCGCTCGCGTCGGCGTCTTTTGGCGGCGAGTCCGGGCCGCGGACCCACGTCGATGCCCGTGCTGAGCGGGAGCGGCTGGTGTTTGACGTGGCGCACTCGGCCGACGTGGTGGCATACGCCGACGAGGCCGAGGCCGAGGAGGACGCCTACTACTATCGGCTGTACAAGGAGCAGCAGGCGGCCAAGGGTAGGCTTTGACGTGGCTTCTGCAAAGGGAAAGGGTCGCGGTGTTACAGGTGGGTGTTTACCACGGGCGGGTGGAGAGGAGCTGCTGCCGCCAGTCAGACGGCGGCGGCTGCGGCTTGTCCGAGTGGGTCTCAAAGCCGAGCGGGTTGGCGGTGTCGGGCCTGCGTGTGGGCGACGCCTTGCCGCGACGCTGGACCCAGTAGTCGGCCTCGTTTTCTGTCTGGCGCGAGGACCAGGTGAAGATGTCGCCCGAGTCGTAGGCGAGTCGCGAGGTGGCACCGGAGCGGTGGGTGTTGACGGGCTGGTCCGGCGGAATACCGTCGCGCCACGAAGACCACTCGAGAATCTTGTCGTGGTCGCCGGAGGGGCCGTGGCGTGCCACGCCCGAGGCCGACTCGGGAGCAGCCGGCGGTGGAGCTGCGCCCGGGTTGTGGACGTTCCACACCAGAAAGTTACCCGAGTTGGGGCGGTCGACGTACCGCTTGGCCGGAGTGGTCTTGACGGCAAAGTCCTCCTCGTGCTTGACCTTTGTCCACCCGATGATGTCGCCATGGACACGCTCGGCGCCCGACGAAGTGTTGACAGCTGGCACGGCCTTGAACCCGTAGATCTGATCCATGTTCATGGTCTTGAGCAGCTCGCCAAAGGCGACCGAGCCCTGCGAGGTCGATTGGCGGTCGATGAGGATCTCCATGTCGCGGTTGATGGGAATGCGCATGTCGTGGAGAAAGGCACGGAATGCCGGCGCCTCGATGTCGCCCTGGATAAAGTCACGGACGCAGGCGTAAAGGCGCTCCTGCGAGACCCGCTCAAAGGCGGTCAACTCGGCGGTGTCGATGGCGCGCGAGGGGCGGGCGGCGAGGGCCTCGGGATTCGGCACGTCTGGCACGTAGCCGACCGTGTTGGCGCCAAGCCGCTTGCCGGTCCGCAACTCGTTTGCCGCGCCACGCCACGAAATAACGTCGGTCGAACGCTTCTGCGTCTCCCACACAATCGGCTCCGGCTGCGGGAGCTCGGCCTGGGTCTGGGTCAGGTGCCGCCCCGGCAGGGTGCAGACCTTCATCAGCTCGGAAAAGTGGATGTAGCCCTCGGTACGCTTGACCTTGAGGATCTTGCGCAGCTCGCGGGTGTCGTCGACGCCGCACCCGTAAAGAAAGTCCAGAAACTCGGCCTCGGAGCAGAGGCCGGCCTCAAACTGGCAGAACGCCCGGTAGATGCGGTCCTTCTGGCCCATGATGTAGTCGCGGTGCTGGATGGCCCGCTCCTTGTACTCTTCCTGCACCACCGAGAAGTTGTCCGTCACACGCGCCCCGCGCAGCGAGTGGTGCACCGCCGCAGGCGTCGACAGAATGCCCTCGATCTCCTCCAGGTAACGGTAGCAGTCGACAAACTGCCCGCGCTCGTCCGACACCAGCTTGACCTGCGTCATCAGCCGGTCGCACTCTTCCGTCCCATACCGCAGGCCGACAGCCTCCAGCGCGGCATTGAACGCCTCCACAGGCACCACGCCCTCGCGCCTCGGGTCGGCGTCCAGCAACGCGTGGTACAGTCGCACCCGAACGTCTGACGAGGCGATCATGGTCACCTCCTCGCCCTGACCGTGACCGTGTGCAGCCTGCAGGGGAGGGGGGGGGGGGTGAGGGGAGAAGGGGGGGGAGCTGGGGAGGTAGGGGTAGGGGGAAGGGGGGGGCAAGGGGGCGGGAGGACGAAGGGGGAAGGGGGTAGTTCCCGGGGGGGAGGGGAGGTGGGGGGGCGGCAGCGCGCGCGGGGGGTGCCGCTGCCCGGCAACGAACGAACCATATACGACGCAAATTTAGACGAGTGAGCCGACCTGCCGACGGGGCACAGAGGCACGGAGCGAGGATGGGTTGAAGAGGGACGAGTGGATGATCGTGAGATCGGCATAAGGTCTCACCTTGGGGGAGGATTTACACAGCTCAACGATTACGGGTTCCGCCATAGCCGGTGGTGGTTCGCATCGACGGCGCGCCACCGCCGCCACCACCGCCGCCGCCGCCGCCCCATCCGCCGCCACCGCCAAACATCGGCCGGCGATAGCCTCCGCCGTAGCCATAGCCTCCGCCGTAGCCGTAGCGCCGCCGCCCGCCGCCCATCATGTAGCCGAGGCCCATGCCGCCGAGGAATCCGCCCCAGCCGCCAAACATGCCGCCGCCGGCAGCAGGCGCAGCAGGCGGTGGTGCATACGACGCGCCCGAGTACGGCGGTGGCATGCAGTTGCCGCCTCCGCCGCCGCCGTATCCATCGCCACCGCCGCCGCCGCCGCCACCGCCGTAACCACCGCCGCTGCCGCCGTGCCCGCCACTGCCGCCCGATCCGGGCGCGCGCGGCGGCGAGGGCGCGATAAAGTACTTGTAAGCCACGTAGAGGAGGCCAGCGACGACAAGCCACCAGAAGAACGACGAGCCCGAGTCTGAGCTCGAGCTCGAGCTCGAGCCAAAGCCAAAGCCAGAGTAAGAGGACGACGAGTAGCCTGTGGGGGAAGCACTGCCGACGCGCTTGATGGTGTAGTTGACGCCGCACGAGCCCTTGAGCACGTACGGATCATCCGGCGACTCGTAGCCCTCGCAGGTAACGGTCGTCGAGCCAAAGACCAAGTTGGACGGCAGCGATGCCTCGCACTTCCACGAGATGTCGTTGCCGCCAAAGCCGCCTGGGCCCATGTTAGTGCAGAGGATGACCTCGGGCTTGAAGACTTGGCATGGCCCGCCAACGCACGCGATCTGCGACACTGGCGGCGACCGCCGGCCCGTTGTCATTTCGCCCGCCCGCAACATCAGCGAGTTGACATCAGCCAGGAGGATACGATCGGTGGCCTTGCCGTGTGCAGGCTGCACGAAGGCGAGGGCGAGGGCGAGGGCGAGGACGAGAGCGAGGGCGAACGAGGGCGAGGCGGCCACCCGCATCCTGCTGTGGGGCGCATAGCGTGTTCTGTGGGATACCATGGGGGGAGGGGGGGGGGGGGAGGGGGAGAGAAGTGACTATCATCGTGGTCGGCAATGAGGACCAAACCACCGTCTGCGGCGGTGTTCGGTGGTGACCTCGCCACAGGTGGTGACACGCCGTGTTCGTGGTGAGGTCACCGGTCGCGCCATGGGTGCCCCCTCCCCATCCTCCCCGCCCATCCAGCCCATCATCAGATGGCTCCCATCGAGATCGACGTCATCAGAGCATCGGGAAGGGGGGGCGGGGGCGTCATAGTCCGGGCTACAGCCCTGCACGCCGAGGAGAGCTCATGTCGTCGTTGCCCCCCTCATCAGAGTGAGCGTGCCCGTACGAGGAGCAACCATTGTCGGCCATGTACCATCCATCCACCCTGAGCTAGTTCCTGTGTGCCTCTCCCTTGTCGCCATCAAGCCCATCAAGCCCATCAAGCCCATCAGCAACCTTGTCGCCATCCGCGTCTGCAGCCGAGGCTCATTGCCGTGCCATAGTAAAGGGGACCCGCTTTGCCGAGCGAAAACCAGTGATCAGCCGCACTCCGGATAGGCCCCGCTCTTCCAAAACAACTTCTCCACGCTTCCAGCTCAATCTCCACTCTCCCATCCCCCATCCTGCCCCTTCCCGCCTTCCTTCCTCCCCCCTCTCCTGTTCTTTCCTTTTATCCCCCCCCTACTCCCCCTCTACCGCCCCATCGCCCTCGATATCCCCCCCCCCTGCATCCACCCTATCCACCCCTCGATCCCGCCCCCTGATCATGATCCCGATCCCGAGCACGAGCACCTCACCCCCCTCACCCGCCCCCCCCCCCCCCCACCCCCCCCCCTCTGCCTCTCTCTGTCTCACCATGGCTGGCACAATACCGCGTGGAGAGTTTGCGCCCTGGATCGACAACGTGCTTCCAGCGGTGGGAGAGCCTGTTGACGTCCGTGTCCCGTCGGCGGTGTGCTCGGCGGTGGCGGCGTGGCTGGTGGCGGCTGAGGCCGCGAGTGAGTCGGCCGGCTGGCTCCCACCGCGCCGGCGGCTGGCCCTGGCGCTGCAAAGCGAGGCTCGATGCACGGCGGCGCTGCCTGTGCTGGCGGCTGGCGGCGCGGTGCCGAAGCGGCTGGTGACCGGTGGTGGTGGGAGCGGCGGGAGTGGCGGCGGGAGTGGGAGCGAGTCGCCATCGAGCGGCGCCCGGTGCACCGCCTGCCGCAAGAGCTTCCGCTCGGCAGACACGCTCGAGACCCATCTGCGCTCGGCCAAGCACACGGCGCGTGTGGCAGAGCTACGGGCGGTGGCGGCCGGACCCGCCAGCCCCTCGCGTTTGCGCCCGCTCGATCCCGCCATCGCAGACGTTGGCCGGAAGGCGTACAAGATCGTGGTCAAGCTCGCAAGCGGCGCTGTCGCCAGCGGCAAGCACCTCCGCAAGCTGTGCGAGGCCGGTCTTGCGCTAGCCGATGCAGGGCTCATTGCCGACGCCGCAAGCTGCTTCCTCGCACTCCGCAAGGGCGATCCCGGCGAGCCGCGCGCCGGCTGGCCCTCGCCCAAGCTCGTCAACCTTTGGCTCGCCCGGCTCTTCCACCCGCACGATCGCCTCCTCGCTCAGTCCTTCTACGTCCTCGTCCTGCAGGCATACTTTGAGAGTGACGACGCTTCGGTGGCGTTGCACGGCCTTTGCGCCGCAAAGAGCGTCGCGCCCGGAAGCGCCGCCGCCGCCGCCGCCGCCGATGCCCTCGTCAGCGACCTCGCCGCCGCCGCCGCCGCAGGCCGCCCCGTCCCGCCGCTCGCCACTGTGGTGGCGGTTGTGGATGAGATCGCCGTTGCGTGTGATGACGACGCGCTCCTTCGATCGCGCTTTGCCCTCCACCTCGCTGCTCTTGTTGTCGCCCTCTGCCGCAGCGACCCTGCCACCGCTGCGCCTGCTGCTCTCCGCGGCAAGTACGCCGCCATAGCTCAGGGCGAGCTCGATGCGGCTGTCGACTTTGCCCTGGCCAGTGGCACCAAGCTCGACGCCCTTGTCCTTGCCGCCGATGCGGGCGACGTTGTCCGCGCCGCAGCGCTGCTGCGCACTCACGCCCCGCCCATCTCTGACGACCAGACAGTCGCTTGCCTCCTTGTCGCCGCCACCTCGGCCTGGGCTGCCTGCGATGATGACGCACTCGATGTGGCGGTCCGGGCCCTCGCTGCAATGGCCCCACATGCTGCCGCAGTCTTCTGTCAACTCTAAGGAGTTGAGTTCAAATTGTTTGGTTCTTTGAATCAACTCGTGCCGCAGTCGCGTGCTGCGCAATAGTGTCCACTTGGCCTGAGACATCACTCGCATACGTCTCTATCAAAGCATCAAAGTATACCCATGTGGATGCACCGCACGTTTGCATCTGCTACCCTCATTGCCCTCCTCGTCTGCGTCGCGGCCTCGTCTGCTCAGGTCACCAGAACTGAAAAATTGCAACTTTGCCGTCAGCCACTGCTGTTGCAACCGCCGTCACGCCCTCAAGCACCGGGTTCGGCTCGGTTATCGCCGTTCTCACCAGCTCTGGCACGTCAGGCAAGATACGGGTGTACACCTGTACCTCATCATGTACTGAAAAGTTCAACGAGGATGTGAGTGCAACCGGTGCGGCCAAGGTGGCCGTCGCCGACATTTCTGGCGATGCAGTTGTTGTCATCGGCGACGCGGAAACGATCATCACGGTCGTGTGCGCCAGCCAGTGCGCGACGCGGACGGTGGCGACCCATACCAACTCTACGATCGGGTTCTTCGGCCCACGCGACATCAACATCGCCTCGACGATATCGTACATGCCGAACGGTGAGCGCGGCCCGGTCTTTTTACTTTTACGCCGTCGATTGCGTCGACGTCGACGGTCATTGCGCGCTGCCATCAGATCGAGTGCACCTCGCTCTCGCTCGTCCAGCCGACCCGCCCGCCAGCGCCTGGATCGATGATACTTCCGCGGCAAGTTGCCACTGCAAGCGTGGTCCTCCCATCTGGTCGTGTCGGCATCGCCATTGCGCTCTCGTCGTGCACTTTGCCGTCGAGTTCGCCGACTCAGCTCGTCTACTACACCTGCAACACCATCACCTGCTCGTCGACGAGTGATCTCGTGCTCGGCCAGCAGTACCAGCCGCAAGCGCCGGGCTACTCGTGCGCGCCCGGAGCGTCGCTTATCTCGATGAGCATTGGCCTTATTGCTGATCTCCCGGCCTTGTTCATGGCCCATGCTGACGGCTCGACGACCTTTGTCCGCTGCAAGACCGAGACGTGCAAGGCGTCGTTCCAGAGCGTCATGCACGCCATGGTCGCGCCGTCGCTCCCGTCCAGCTACGCCAATGACCTCTCCGACGACCAGAAGGCCACTCTTCAGTGGGGCCTCGCCACGAACTCGCCGCTCTTTGGCGCAGCTTCCATCCCCGTCGTTTGGTCGCTGCCGGTCAGCAACGTGGCCCCGCTCATCACCACCGAGTGCAAGGACGTCCTTTGCCGTGCGCTCCAGGCTCCGTCCGCGCTCACCGACATTACTTCGGGAACCAAGTCTCTTCTCTCGACCTCGGTCTCGGGCGCCACATCCGCGGAGTTCGGCACCCAGACCGGATTTGAGCTTGTGTATGCCGTATCGGACGTCAGCGCCGGCGAGATCACCGTCCATCGCCGCAAGACGACGACATCTGGCTCGACATCGCAGCAATGCTCGTCGGCGCGTGCCTCCGGTCCGGGCCTGGCAGCGGCGACGGTGGCGGTGGCAGCGGCACTTGTTGTGGCCGTCATTCTCTGACCCAGTGACAACATCCCTTTTTCCCTCTCTTTCAGTCCAAGCCCACCATGCCGGCATCGTGGTGCAGCTGTCGCGGCGTCTTGGGCACTCTCACTGGAATCCGCTGATGCTTGCGGTTGACCGGGCTGTAAGCCACCGCGAGCGAGCCCGCTGTCTGGTAGGCGTGGAGGGTGGCAGCTCCCGGCGATGCAGCATGATCGGCTGCAAGCTGGCGAGTCTCGCGCTCGAGCGCTTTCAGCTTGAGGCTATGAATGGCGTCCCAGAGCGGGCCATTCTTGGGCGTGTACATCAGCCGCTGCAGCTCGACAATCTGATCGACCGAATGCGCAAGGATGAACGACGAGGCCAGAAACGCGCGCAGCCGCTCGCTGCCAGCAGTGTGCAGGACGTGGGTGGCTAAAAAGACAAAGAGCGACGGAATCTGGAGCAGGTCGGCCGCAAGGAGCAGGCGCCAGGTCTCGTCGGCACCAACCTCGGCCTCGAGAAACGCCTCCATCCACTCGACCGGACCCTGCACAAACCGTAGCGCGTCGGCAGCAACGTGCGCGGCGAGGCCTGGCCAGAAAAACGAGGCGCCGTGGCGAGCCAGCCGTGGGAGAGCCAGGCAAGCCTGCGCCAGCCGCGCCGGCACATGCATGGCCTCACCGTTTGCCAGCTCAAACACAAACAGCGCGTCTGCACCCGCGGCCATCGCCCGCTGCAGTTGAGCCTCCATCGGCGTTTCGTCGTCGACCCGCGGCACGCGCCGCCGGCCCCGCCGAGCGGGCGTCCTCATCGGAGACGCAATAGTACCCGCTGCCACTGCTGCCTGCCGCTCCCGCAACATCTTGACAGTGGCGTCGTCGAGCGTTTCAACCTGGGACGACTCTGTCGGATCAGCAGACCGAAGCGTCGCCTGAAACCACGCGTTCTGCACATACGGCGAGCCAGGCGCAGACGGCCGCTTGTCGGCATCCACCTCGATGCTCTGGACCTCGCGCGCCGGCGTCACCTTGGCCGCTTGCACCGTGGCTTGCACACGGAGGTTCTGCACATCAGCATCTAGCTCGTTCTGGATGCAAGTCCGCACTGACGTTGCAGCTGGAGATGCAGGCGCCGAGCGTGGAGGTGGGACTGGGATCGGCGTATCGAGTCGCGGCGTTGGAGCCTGCTCCTGCTCCTGCTCTTGCTCGTGCTCGTGCTCAGCCCGCCAGAGGGTCTCAGACATCGGGAGTGGCAGCTGGCGAGCAGGCGTCTGCATCTGCTGCTCGGACGAGCCATCCAAAAGCTCATACTCGTACTCGTACTCATACTCGGCTTGCGGGCGCGGGGACGGCGCCGGTAGTGCCAGCTCCCATGCTGCCCACGGATCGTCGTCGCTGACACTGCCACTGTCACTACCACAGCCGCTGCTCGCGCCGGCACCAGAGCCAGAAGCAAGCAGAGAGTCGCTGGCGTCAGGTCGGCGGACGACCGCGTCCAGGAACGCAAGATCTGCCAGCCTCCGCACCACAGCAAGCTGAGCATCTGCTGAGGGCTGGGCAAGCGGTGGCGGCGGAGGATCGGATACCAGCGGCTCGCCCCAACGCCAGTCGGCGGCGGCGGCTGACGGTGGCGGTGAGGGTGAACGCCTGGCAGTGAGGCGGGGCTGTCGCCGGGCGCCGGGACTATGCTCCGACACGTGGTCAGCGAGGAGAACGCCACGCCGCGCGGCTAGCGCATGTAGCCTTGCCTTTTCGTGGGCCCTACGGTGCGCCGGCGTGGCGTCGAGCGTCTGTGCCAGCTGCGGCGAGCCAGTCGCGCCTCCTCGCGGCCGCCGGCCTGTCCCGCGCCCGCGCCTCGTCCCGCGCGAGGTCCCGCGCCCGCCACGCCGCCACGCCGCCACCCGCCGCTCTTCGGCCATGACCTCGGCGATGTCGCGCCGTCGCCGTCGCGGGCTGGCGCGCATGACCTGCCTGTTGAGGAGAGGAGAGGTGGGCGAGGGGTGAGCAGGGCGAGCAGGGCGAGCGGAGTACGCGACGGATCAAGCCAGTTACGGGGGCGCATTTAGATTGCGGTGGGGGTCTGGACAAGGCTCTCAGTCCTCGATGCTAGGCGCAGTGCCAGAGACGGATGCGTCGCCGGGGAGTTGATCGTCGTAGTCGCGGGCGGCGTAGAGACTGTTGAGGAAGAGCGCCCGGGGCCAGACGTAGGCAAAGAGCTTGTGGAGCTTGACGCGGGCCTGCTCCTTGTCACCCGGCGAGAGTGTCTCCAGGAACGTGTCGCGCGATGGAAGCGCGTAAAGGGCGAGCTTGACGGCGGATCGGACCGACCATCCGTGGTGGATGCCGAGCGTGACCGAGTACGCGTCCTTGGCTGCGGCCCGGAGCGACCAGTCTGTGGAGCAGAACTTGTCGAGCATGAGCGCGATGAAGGAGATTCCGCGCTTGAGGTGCATGATTGGGTCGCGAAGCGCATAGTCGGCATCGACGGCGCTCACCACATCCTCGGGCTGCTCGCCCCGCTCGGCGTACTTGGTCCGCACCTGCTCGAGCCGCATGTTGAGGTCGTCGCGGATGAACTTTGTCCTCGTCGCGCCGATGTGGATGAGGATGGAGACAAGACATGTCGTAGCATTGGCAAAGGCCTTGATGGGGATGCACTCGCTGCCATCGTCGCCCATCGGGCCTACTCTGCGGACGGTGGCATCCAGCTCGGCCCACCGCTCCAGCGACTCGTCCAGCCACTCGGGTCCGGCCTTCTCAGCGTAGTCTGACTCGAACACCCATCCGTCACCAACAAGTGCTCGCTGCGCAGCCTCACTCTCTGGATACGCCGCCATTGCTCGCGTCGCTTGCTCTCCTCAGACCGACCGTGCTGTTCTGCAGCGACCTTCCCAAGTTGCGGATGAGTGTGCGGATGCACAGATGCCAGCTCCTCGACGCTGACCGTCCACCGTCCCACTCACTGCCTTTGCCGCGTCGACAACCCCGCACTGGCCTGTTTCTGCTTGGTCGGCTGCGCCTGCGCGAGTCGGAGCGAGTCGAGTGGTGAGAGCCGGCTGTTCGGCATGACGACTGGCGGTCGCGTGGCGGCGCAGTGACACATTTACTCGGTGGCTGCTTGAGTAGTCTCGGCAATGGCGCGCAGAAAGGCGTTGGCGTCCATCGGGACAAGGACGGTCTGCGACTCGATGGCTTCGGGCGCGTGCGCGTGGTCGGTGTTGATCCGGATGAGGGTGGCGCCTCGCTGACGGGCTACAAGCTGCTCGTTCGGCCGGCGGATGACGGTCGGGGTGTTGTAGCCGACGCCAATCTCGAGAACAATCAGATTGTCGTCAACGGCAAAGCCGTCCAGAAAGGCGGCGAGATCTGCCTCGGCTGCCTCACGCGGGCGTTCGTCGAACCACGCGCCGCCGCGGACGTTGAGGAAGACGTTTTCCGAGCCGCAGACTGGGCAGACCGGCGGCGGCGCCGACGTAGTGCCGTCGTCGGCTAGGCTTGCTCGCAGGCGATCGAGCTCCGGCTCGGATGGCCACGGCTCGGAGCTGCACTCAGACTCGAGACACTGCATCAGCGCGTAGCTGCCCTGGCGCTCGACAACCCGCCGCGGGTCAAAGTGGCCGAGTCGGTGCAGAAGGCCGTCGACGTTGGAGGTGAGGCAAAAATACGGAAGGTCGCCCACGAGTGTACGCAGGCGATCGTATGTGTCGTGAACTATCATGTCGGTGCCAAACCGAACTTCCTTGACCTGACGCGCCAAGTAGCCCCACTTGACCGCCGGATCGCGCGGCGCGCCGCCGATGTACTGGTACATGTTGGTGTAACCGCGGGCAACCATGTCAGGGAAGAAGCGGGCGTGGACTTCCGCAGAGGTGTAGTCGACGCCAGCAGCGGCCGAGAGCCCTGCACCACACGTGACGAGGACCCCGTCGGCGGCGGCGAGCGCGGCGGCGACTCGCGCGACGATGGCCTCGGTTCGGGCAGCGGCGGCGGCTTCCGTTGTCGAAGACTCGAGCCCAAGCGCAGCAGCAAGCCCGGCCTCGTCATCGTCAGTGTACGCCACAAAGAGAACAAAGATGTCCGGCGCGTCGCGCACCTTGCGGGCAGCGAGCCAGTCCGAGACCGTGGCGACCGCGATCTCGGCGGCGCGGCGCTTGGGAAAGGCAAAGAGGCCGGTGGAGATGCAGGGAAAGGCGACCGACGCCGCGTCAACGGCTGCAGCAGCGTCGAGGACCGAGGTGTAGCACGCGGCAAGGCCGGCCTCGTTGGCGGCCGTCACCGGCCCGCTGATCTGCGGACCGACTGTGTGCGCCATGTACTGCGCCGGCAGCACGCCGGCGGTAGTGAGCAGGGCCGAGCCGACTGGCTCGGCATCGCCATGCGCGCGGCGCTCTGCACACTCGGCACGGATGGCCGGCCCGCCTGCAGCATGTAGGATGTTGTCCACGCACTTGTGCTCCGGACGGAAGCACCCGAGCAGCGCCGAGTTGGCTGGGTTGACCACCACGTCGGCGGCCACAAGCCGGATGTCGCCGCGCCAGAGTCCCATTAATCCGACCTGCGTCTTGCCGGCAGCCGCGCGTGGCTGCACAATGCCGCGTGCTTCCACCTCGGCCCGGAGCAGATCGTCCAGCGCCGCCTGCATCTCGTCGTCGTTCACCGGCCCCGGCGGACGAACCGTCAGTAGTGCACGGAGGCTTTCCCGAGCCTCGAGCCGCGTCGCCGTTGGCACCCGGTACCCGAGCTCGTTAGCAAAGTAGCGCGCGAGCTCCACGACTTTGTCTCTCTTGTTCATGGTGGTGTCTGTGATCGTGCGCGTGTGTGCGTGTGTGTGTTTCTGTGTGTGTGGCGACTCGCTTGTGCGTGAATGGCTCAGCACCGGCCGAGGTTTTCCCATGTCGGCGATGTGTGTGACGCCATCCCGGAATGTCGTCTAATGTCACGTGTCCATCGTTCCGGCCACGTGACTTGTAGCCCTACACTGCTGCAAGTCGACTAGTTGTGGGATCCCCCCTCCCCCTCCCCCTCCCCCCTCCCTCCCCCTATAGTACGTCGGCTTTAGGCGTCCTACCTCCTCTGCCTCTATCCTGTGCCACACTTCCTTCTCTCCGTCCATCCACCCCCCCCCCCCCCCTCCTCCGTCGTCCTTCACTTCTTTCCCCAATTTTTCCCTGCAGATCCTCCCTCCCCCCTCCCCCCCCCCCCGTCCCTGCCACCAAATCGTGGAATTGCCCTGCCACCAGCACAGCCGGCGGACGGCCACAGCGGCATTGGCGGCGGCGAGTCGGTGGTATTCCTCTCAGCAATGTCGGCCGGCCAGGTGGTGAGGATCCACTTTCCGGATGGCTCCTTCCGGTCTGTCCCCCTCACGCCAGAGACTGATGTCACAGCCGTGACCAAGATGATCTTTGACAAGAACAAGCTCTGCGGCTCGTACGACGAGTACGCCCTCTACGAGCAAGCCGGCTCGGGCTCGCCGCGTACGTTGCCGGACCCTCCCCACCCCTTACCCCCCACCACCCCCCCACCACCCCCCCACCCCCCAGTCCCCCACCCCCCCCACCCCCCACCCCCCTTGCCACCCTGGCTACC